CCGAAATCAATTTTGCGTCTTCGTCATTCTTCTGCTCATTACGTGCACAGTGAACGTTACATATACAGACACAGTGTATTATTAAAAGAACACTAAAGAGAAACATTGTGAGACCCTTAAGCTTCACCTTTAAGAGTTCAACGCGACAGCAGTATCCTGGTTATAGTGCGCGCACTTCGAGCACTTAGTGTATGAAATCTTTTTTCGAACCTGCTATGCACCCACTACCTAACCTTGAGGGTGCAGTAGCGTGTGTGCCTTTTGTACTGGCTCACTGGCTTTGAACTACGAAGTCATTATAATAATCCCATGTTCGGACGCCCGGTGGCAGTGTACGCTTGCACCACGCATTATTACGGCAATACTTTATGTTGTACTGTAAAACGTGTATACAGTATACGCGTGTGCTTGTGAAGCATGAAAGTTACTTTCGCTGCATTCACAAATAGAGGCGTGGCTGTGTGGTAGAACGCCCGCTAGTCGCGGAAACAAACCGGGTTTGATCCCCACTCCGGTATTTTTTATTATTTATTTTATTTGCACCATTATTGATTTTTCGGTTACGCAGAGATGATCATTTTTCGCGCACAACTGACGACGCCGACGGCGGATTTCCGCGAAACGAGCTCTTAAACGCTATCGCGTTAAAAATGATTTTCCACGTATTAGCCCATTGCTTTACCACAACGCCGAAAATACCATTCTCACTGCGAGAAGACTATTGGTGAGAAAAAACGCACAAAAAGAAAGTGGAGGTAGAGATGCCACCTTCACTTTCCTGCACCGAACGCTGTGACGTCATAGAAGTTGACGGCGTTTACTAGGTAATCGGTAAAAATAACACACACTGTCGTCCGAGGTTCTATAGACTTAGCATTCTCAGTTTTAGGGAATTTCATTGAGCAAATGTCGCCAAAATACGACAAACACAATTTTTAATCTGTGATGCCACGTGTGGTAATCTCAGTGCAAAATTTAAACGTGAGACTGTCACGTTGATTTTTCTCCTAGACTAATAAACATACAATGATCAAATTAATGACACTAGAGTTTTCGAAGTACAATTCACCAGCCTAATCATGCCAAAACAGCACTATGTGGGTTAGTATTGTGAAAAAACAAAAAAAAAACAACAACAAAAACTGCGTATACTAATAATGCTAGAAAGAGGCTGCCATTTATGTTGCTGAAATACCTGCTTTTGCTTTTTATGTAAAGTCCAGCTCCTAATCGCACACCTGTGTGATTTGGTCACTACAAAATAGCTAGGATGCTTTAACAAAGCTTGGTTGCTCATTGAAAAAAAAAAGAGAATTAAGAAACTATTGCAATACAGCAGAAGGACACAAATTGCATCAAATGATTTGTCAGTGGTCCCATAGGTCAAATAAACAAAGCTGACGTGCTTTAAAGATTACTTCAGCGTCTTGTTATTTGAACATATACTTTCTATATAAAAAGGAGGAGGCGGAAACCTTTTGAGCTGAAGGGCTGAATTGCATGCAGTCGACTACGCTGGAGCTGGTCGGCCAATCTAAGGGTGTGAGGGGTGCAGATGAAGCGAGAAATGTTGACGAATTAATAATAGTTAAAGAACTTACCCACAAATCAGCTTTAGTTTCAGCATGCGCTTCAGGAGGCTGCTTTGCAAACACACGCTGCAACGCCAACTGCAGGCGACCTTTCTCTGTTCCTGTCTAGCCACATTTGAGGTCCAAACTGCCATGTACACCTTTACATAGGTAGTTTCTCAATTACAGCTGTCCCACGAGTGCGTTAACCAGGAGAGGCCGACTTTATTAAAGAGATCAATCCTATACCTTCTTTTGAAGCCAAAGTAATGAAACTGACACTTTCTTACATTACTCATTCTTTCCGAGCCACAAGATCCATGAAGTGTAAATTAATGCTGGCCAAGCTGCGAGGCGAAAAAAAAAAGTGAGGCCGCTCATTGCACGTCGCTTAGCAACGATAGATTAAAAAAAGATACAGACCTTGATCGTGCAATCAGACTATGTGCGTTAGTTTTAGCGAGGCCCCAAAAGATGTCGGAAATAATGCTTTTGTACATGGTCAGCTTAGCGGAAGGACAGTTCTTGCCAAGAAGTGAGTTATTGGCAAATTGTGCCCGGGAGGGCCAGGATAATCGAATGTTCCCGTCGTATACTCAAGAGAGAGAGGAGGGGGAGTCAGTTCTCAGAACTGACGCTGCTACCGATTTTGCTCAATATCGTTCCAGCAATTTCGCTTCTTCGAAGTGATTACGAAATAAGTTGTTCAGCTCCATTTAGAAAGTTTCAAGTCGTTGTATATCGTTCGCACACAATGTCATGCAATACAGCTAGTTATTCTTCCCATTGAGCCCTTGTTCTTTTGATCTCGCTTGCGTATAGTGTTAATCATCTTGTACTCCGACTGACGAAAAGGAAGTGTGCTTGGTGACATGTTTCTCTAGTTAATTATGTGCGGCATGTCAAGAAATTAAACCTACCGTTATGAGTAGCACCCGTGAGTCTTGTGTTGTGTCCTTGTTGTTCCTCGCGCTCAGAAAGCCATCGATTCAAGAATCGAAGCTGGTGGCATTCCGAGGTGAATCGGTGTAGAATCAAATCTGAAGGGGGCACGCGTATTGAGATGTTCGCCGTAAAACATAAGGTAAAAGTGCACTGCTAATCCAGTCACTTTCGTGCCCCGCTGCGGTGGTCTATAGTGGCTAAGGTACTCAGCTGCTGACCCGCAGGTCGCGGGATTGAATCCCGGCGGCGGCGGCTGCATTTCCGATGGAGGTGCAAATGTTGTAGGCGCGTGGGCTCAGATTTGGGTGCACGTTAAAGAAACCTAGGTGGTCGAAATTTCCGGAGCCCTCCACTACGGCGTCTCTCATATAATCAAATGGTGGTTTTGGGATGTTAAACGTCACATATGTATCTATCTAGCCACTTTTGTATTAAACGCCGTTCCATGCACTGAGGCACACAATCAGCCAGAACACGCGTGTATTTTGCACCACACTTTCGGAAGGATAATAACCACATGGGCATTACTCGCCAAAACAACGATGCGGTAGGGGGGATGCCGTAGTGGGGAAATCGGGATTAGTTTGGGACCACCCGAGGTTCTTTAACAAGCACCGAAAGACAGGAACACTCCGGTGTTGTTCCATTTCACTTTGGTCGTATGATGCGAACGCAGCGGTCAAACTGGCACCCTCGCGCTTTGTAGCATACTTTATAAATTAATATCTCGAGAATGGCGTCACCCCGAACTTCCAGTAAAACCTTTGGAAACTTATCGGCTGCGATGCGTTAATTACATTAAAGACCGTAAAGTGAAGGTATTTAGAGGTTAGCCTACTAAGAAAACAAAACTGTGTGAGCTATTATTAAGTGAATTTGTGCTCGTGCACAAATGCACTTATTAATAGCTTACACAGTTTAAACAACAGTTTACTTTTGAAGAATGTTTGGTTTCTCGTTGAAAACCCTACATTTCGGTATTTTTACCTGATTTTGAAAAAAAAACTCGGTGTCCAAGTACAAAGAGGTTTCCATGCTTCATTCCTCGTTCCCATTGGAGTGACGTCGCGGAGCCTTGGTGTATGATCCTGTGAACTCTATGTTCGGCAGCAAAATTGGAAAAACAGCTGCTAAATAGGGATACCGCGCCTTAGTGGAAGCCGCCGCAATATCGTTTCTTTGATTGCCTGTCTCATTTCACCGTAGTGTTATTTCGGCAATGATAGCAAATGCCTATGCATGCTCTTCTTGAGAATGAGGACTAACGCAAAAGCAGAATGAACCTGAAATCGCCCAAACTGATTTTTCTTTTCGTACCACGTGAACGCCAAAAAGTCTTGTTGCGGGTGTTTGCTAAAAAGTCACAAGAAACCTCTCGCACCCTCACAATATTTGCGAAATAGTAGATATCAGCTACATATATAGTAAAGAGTGAGTTCAGCTAGAGAAACCAGTATCTTGAGAAACCCATGGATCATACACAAACCAACAGCGTATTGCAGTATTGTGAAAGATTGTTTATAATCTGGCTCAAAATTGTGTTTAGGTTAAAATTATGAATCAATCTAACAAAGCAGCTTTTAGAAATTTCGCAATCTCACACACAAAAAAATTGCGGTTGTCGGCCAGGTTCCCGTCGTGTTGAATATTGTCCTCAACTGAAGTTTAGGAAGCAAACGTGGCAATAAACCCAATTTAACGAAACTGTCCCGGAAATTATTGGGTAAAAATGAACTGATTTTTTTCCCGGTTTTGGCACAGATAGGTGCTTTATCGGGCCTGCGCTGTGCCACTATTGCGTGAAAAAGCCTCTTTGCGCTTGCCAGAGCTACGTTTATTTTGACTACGCTGCACGGAACCATGGTGGTGCTTTTACGTATACTGTATGGTGCTATAGGGGCACTGGTGGCTTGTTGTACCTGCATATTCTTTCAGATAAGTATGGTGGTTGATTTTGTGATTTATTGATTTATGCCAGGAGATAGCATAAACCGTATCTTTGTGACTTTATGGCTCATACAATCACTGCCTTCTTTCTGCCCCAGTTTTGCGTATCGACAGGTTGTCATCGCTTCACCTGGCCGTCTGCGTCACCTTCATCGTACGAAGCATGTCGGGGTTGTCCTCGCAGACTTTACGTACGGGCAGGCGTGTGTTAGTGACGAGTAAATTGACATGACACCTTTCGGGTATCGGATCGCTACGCTAGTACGGTATGATTTTAAAATTTCTAGGGCTAAAAAATGCCTTCGTTAGTATTACAAACGTCCGGGCTGAACTAAGTGATTATAGCACGCTTTTTATTGCGTTAAATTGAGGTTCAACTGTATAGGACAATGATCTCTTCAAGCATTTCTCCGGTATCCTTGTATTGGATGTCCTGTCCTCTGATAGCGTTTTTTCTACGACGACCATTAGACGATACGTGTCTATACCACCAGGTCATTCAAAGGAAAAAAATGAACCCAGTAGGTTGCTACTCACCAGAGTGAGCTGAGTGGGTGGTTTCCGTGTTGCCGAGTCACGGCCGTACCCGTTGGCTCGGAGCAACTCCGCCAAGTCTCCGTACGTCATGAACTCGAACACCATCCAGGGTATGGAACCGGATTCTGTGCGCGAAAATCAGAAGCAAACCACTTTGTTCACCAGAGGCCTTAATTTCTCGGCAATTTGCAATGCATAGGTGACAGAGGCTCAACACACGTCCCCGATAATTAAGCGCTTCGCGAGACAAATCCTTGCTCTGGAAGCCTATGCTCCTATTATATTCATGTGTCATGTGCGAATCCACCATTCACAAACAACACAGTTTGTAGTTGGATTCCGTGTGCCAGTTTGTAATTCTCTCTACTGCGCAGCCCAGATTCGGTAAAGCCAATAAACGAACCTCGGGGGAATGTGCAGGCTACGAAATACGTTTTCTTAACGCGAACAAAAAGTTATGCTGGCAGCCATCAATGATTTGAAAGCTGACAACTGTAATTACGTTTAACACTGTCGCAAGATGCAAATCCCAGTGAACATTCACTCTAGAGTTGATGCGTAATGCGCGAGACAATTCAAATTATCGCGGTTCGCAGGGAGTGGTGCTGGCATGTAGTACACCTTGTACTTGCGTTATTTTTCACTCTTGACAACGCCGGCGACGTTGAGAGAGTAATGGCCACTTAATTCTTGTTCCCTTGCGTCAGGCGCTACATCGTATTCGAGGCCCGGCTGTTCGCTTTCGGGGACGCCGATGTCATCTCTAACGGCTCCGCTTAAGCAGAAAGTTTAGGAGGGGCCACCTGGGAATAGGCGCGAAAGTGTCTTCATTGGATAAGAGACAAGCTATGTTATCCAATTACACGCGTCAGAGGATTTGATTAACGATCCTCGAGTGGCTTCCTTTCGTAGGGAAACGGGAAGTACTTGAAACTGCCGAATGTGAAACAAATGAAAGCTATCAGTGTGGTCGGACGCGTTGCGCGCTGCTTAAAAAGGAAAAAAAAAAAAACGATGGATCGATTCTGTGACAGCGCGGGAAATTATAGGATGTGAAGCTGTATATACGTTACTCCTGCACTGCCGTAGGGTTTATCTCGGGGAAGGATTATCGCCGCTAGCACTCAATTCCAATCTCGAAGCAGTATAAAGACGTTTAAGCTTCCGGGAGTTTGTCAGCCGGCGCTCGATCGACAACGACGAACTTGAAGGAGCGGGGCCATTACCAACGCTGCGTTCACAAAGCCACATTATTAGCGCTCGACTACTTTCCGAGCAAACGTGTTTTGGCTTTAGTGCCGTTTACTTATTTCGCGAGGATGTTGAAAGACTGATAAATTAAGATAGGCGCGGAGTATTATTGCATTGAGAATGTCATGTTTATGCCGCTATGCTACATAACCCACGCGTTTCCTTTCAGGCTATTTATTTCTTGTTTTTTTCGACCTGGCAACCACACTAGTGGGCATAAGTATTACATTGATGAAGCAGTCTAAAATAATTAGCTAAAAAACGTTGGTTATGCGTATAGTCGGCTTCATGTCATTGCGCACTGCATCAACTCACCGCATTGGTCAAAGAAGCCCCGGATATAGAACGACGTTCGTGTTAGACTTGCTCTTAAGTGTAGAGATTTTTGAAAGGCTATGATGAAACACTGCGATTCATAAGTGCGAAAAAAAGAAGACTGCCTGCATACGCAACTTGGTCGTTTGACCTGAGCCTGAACTAATGCAGAATGTTGGATTCCCTGAAATGAATGCGCTGTTCATTTGTAGTCCCCTTCACGAGGCAACATTTCCTACTTTCACTGATATGTTCAATGGCAAATAAATAGCTTTCGAGCCTGTATTTTTAGTTATACAGTATCGCGTCACTACTTTTGCCTTGGTTCCAGAGACTCAAACACAAACCGAAAGAAGAATATCATATAAATATTGAAGAAGAGCCAACGCTGCTGAAGATGAAACGAAAGAGCTTGAAGGGAAACTTATATCGCCCTCGCTCCCCGCTTCCCCTCTTCCCCTGCCACTTGATTTCCTCGAGTGTACGCACCTTCAAGCCGCATATCAATATGCCGTCAGCCTGCTGTAACCATAATCCCCCCAAGACTGACCTCTTGATAGTAATGAACAAAGTATTTTTTTTATCCTCTTCTAATTTATCTTCTAATTTTTCCACCACTGCCCCAGAATAAGAGCAACTTCACCATGCTTTCTGAAGCGTGTGCGCAGTATCTCAGAGTATGCTGGGCGCAGACTTCGTTATTTGCTCTGGTTAGGCTTCGGTTTGTTTTCTTTCCGCGTTGTAGCTTCCGTTCTTGCCTATACCAAGCCGACTTGCGGCGCTCGTTAGAGCTTCCGTGGGGACGCATGGCCTGGGCAAGCCAGCCACTCTAATTTTTCTGAGACAACAGAAAAAAAAAACGAAAAATAGACCCTAAAGTAAAAAAAAATGCATATAGTGCTTGTGATTAGACTTGAGAGTTGCATAACCGAGCTGAGAGTGAAAGAAGAAAGGATGAAGTAGAATGGAAACAATCCTTAAAAAGAAGAGTTGCTTATGAACTAGTTCTACTATGGAGAACACGAAGCAAGACGTGAGCTTCACCGAAAGCGTGGCACGTCAAGCGGAGAAGATCTATATAAAATACAGAAAACAAGACCGACAAAAGACGGTTTCGCCCAGCTCGGAACACACAGAGCTGGAAGCTCCCGCATACAGCCCAGTCGTTCCTGCTCTGCACCACTCTCTCCTGCTTGCAGGTGCGTCTCTCGTGCGCAAATACCGACACAAACTTCGTGCTTCTTCAGGCAAAAGTTTGCCTTGCGCCGGTCTCACTGTCGTTTACAGCCGCGGCGACTTTCTCGAAGCACCTTGTTTCACCGCCCTACGCTCTCGTTCTAGTTTTATTCGTCGTACAAGACAACCATTTGCGACACAATAGTTGCGAGAACTAGCACGTACAGAACGACGCGGTGTGTAACGTATCTGTCGCGCATTCTAATTGCAAGGCCGTGAAATTTACGCTATATATATGCTCCAGATTTTCGAGCGTGGCAATACCACTTTTGGTATAGTCGCAGATGCTTTTGAATATAGTGTCGTCCTTAGCTTAGACTTCTTTCTTTCTTTCTTTCTTTCTTTCTTTCTTTCTTTCTTTCTTTCTTTCTTTCTTTCTTTCTTTCTTTCTTTCTTTCTTTCTTTCTTTCTTTCTTTCTTTCTTTCTTTCTTTCTTTTTTTCTTTCTTTCTTTTTCTCTTTCTTTCTTTCTTTCTTTTTTTCTTTCTTTCCTTTTTCTTTCTTTCTGCACATGTGCAGAGAATTGAGCGGCGAAGGCAAAAGGCTAGGAGCCTGACAAAGGGCCTTTCCTCCAGGTACAGTGAGGCACGCAGGCCATCATAAACACTTAGCAAGATACACTCGGTAAGAAGGAAAAGGGAGATAAAAAGGTACACGTGCAAAATAACACAGCGCATACAACAACAATAAAGCATTGTTAATCACAAGCATATATATGCACATGAATTTCAACGTACTAGAGCAACATTAGCTGCAAGTGTTGCACTACTTAACACTTCCATATTTACATAAAACATCTTACATAAAAACATAGATACGTTAAAAATAGTCAGATGGTGTAATATTTGCACCAAGAAAAACACAAAATACAACATAGGCAAGCAAAGAGGAACTAACACTTATGTAAATTCAATGTTGTTTTGTATTATAGACTTCTCGTTCATTTGCTTGGAGATTTGGCTACTTATATCTAGAAGGCTGTCAATTTTTTCAAGAAACGTGGGTATCTGAAAAGGTGTGCGTTGCCAACTATAAAATGTTCGAATCCTTGGAGTCCCTTTTCGAGAATAATACAGGGTACCATCCTGCCAACTATGCGGTCTATTACGTTTTATATGCTGATATAATTTGAAATAGTAAATCTGATTGGCTTTGAGTGTAACGTATTTCGAAAATAGCGGTTATGTCCGGAAGTCACGCATGGGGCCATGAAAATCCTCTAAGATCCTCAAGACTCTCTTTTTCACAATAAGCAGTTCATAATAGTTCGTTTGTATTGTGGTTCCCCACTAAAGCGTGCAAAAAGAGAGTCGTGAGTGGAAGAGAGTGTAATAAAGTGTGTTTTTCAGCCACAGTGGTATGGAAGAGTTGAACTTGTATAGAAATTCAATACATTTACCTAACTATGATATTAAATTCACTATATCTTCATTCCAAGAGACGTCTTCTTGAAACCACACACCGAGGAACTTCTGCTCCGCCGCGGTGGTCTAGTGGCTAAGGTATACACTCGGCTGCTGACCCGCAGATCGCGCGATCGAGTCCCGGCTGCGGCGACTGCATTTTCGATGGAGACGAAAGTGGTGTAGTCCCACGTGCTCAAATTTGGGTGCATGTTGAAGAACGTTAAATAACTCCAGGTGGTTGAAATTTTCGGAGCTCTCCACTACGGCGTCTCTCATAATGAAATGATGGTTTTGGGACGTTAACTTTTTTGTTACCGCGGCTTTTCAAATCAATCACCGGCGATCGACGCTTTGGTTCGTCGATTTTCACATGCTAAATTTGTTTTCCTGCATTTAGAACTTTTTGGTAGTTAGTACAGCCACTCAACTTTCAGAATCAATTGGAACTTTTCCGTTTTGGCAAGATAGTGATATTTGAAGGACGTTTGCGTGAACGTGTATGTGTTGTTGGAAAAATGCACTAGGCTGGTGAAATTGACAAAAGTGCGTGCCCCTCGTGATTATGCTGCAATAGCATCAAAAGTCTGTCGCGAAAATAACCTGTGCAAGCCAAATATAAAATTAAAGAGCCACCTTCACAGTTTGATTAGGTTGAGCATGCCTATTTGCCGGATATTTATGCCACCCATTCAATAAAGAGCTGTTACTGTGAGCCAGGCAAAGTTTATTCGACAAAAAGTATTTCCGAAGGTCCGTCCCATGCCCTGCCACGGTGGTCTAGTGGCTAAGGTACTCGGTTGCTGACCCGCAGGTCGTGGGATCAAATCCCGGCTGTGGCGGCTGCATTTCCGATGGAGGCGGAAATGCTGTAGGCCCGTGTGCTCAGATTTGGGTGAACGTTAAAGAACCCCAGGTGGTCAAAATTTCCGGAGCCCTTCACTACGGCGTCTCTCATAATCAAATAGTGGTTTTGGGACGTTAAACCCCACAAATCAATCAATTAATTAATTATTCAATCAATCAATCAATCAATCAATCAGGTCCGTCACATGTTTAAAGCATCGAGATGGCCTTTTCAGCCAGTTTTCAGCAGCTTTTATTTCGCTTGTATTGTTATATTAAACACAGGGTCACATTTAGTGTGACTAAGTTGCTCCAATGGCGTCATCGTCACGCACTCATGGGCGAACACTAATGCTGCAATGCACACGCACCGCTAGAAACTGTTTTGCAACCGTACCTGAACTGAGTGAGGACGAGCTTAGAGTCTATGGATGACAGAACCCCAGCTTCAAGTTTTGTGGCTAAGGTGTTTTGCGTCAGCCTGAGACATCCGCGGCCGTTCGTGGGTTTGTTTTGTTTACGGCCTCAAGTTGTCTTCTACGCCACAAGTGCGTAGCTACTGACCTTTGTGCACAATCTTATAGCTACTGTGGTTACATGCGAGGTCCACGCTTCGCTGCGGCGCTGTGTGCTGAGGCCGTATGCAGAGCTTCTAACGAAAAGAAGGCCACCGAAGCAGATCTTGGTCCTGACTACGGAGCACCACGAAATAATTTAAAACTTTACGATATATCGTTCTTTTTTTAGTGCAATGTGCAAAGTGCTAAGAAACATGTTTGCATGCGAAAATAGAAGCGTAAACCTATGCGGAGTGAGGTGGCTCATGGAAAGCGGACGAAATGGCGTTCATTGGACATCTGGTTTACAGAGGTATTATCCACATAACGGGCATCCATCTACATTTGAACACCTGGAGGCTTTTATTGCAAAAAACAAAATATTATTGAGGAAAACCAGCCGATGCTTCATAGCCAGGCACGAGCAACAAAGCAGTACCTTGGCTCCGATTTTCTTTGTATATGTGAATAGAAACATTTTCCACAACATTTATTTTTTTTATACTATTCCTGGGTCATTTTTCTTCAAAATGTATAATCTGAACTTTTTTGTTTTAGATATTTTTGAGTTTATACTGTTTTTTTGCACTGCTTACCGACTCCTAACCACCAGTTACACAACTTTTTACAGTTTTATTCATTTCAAAATATTTTCAGCTCTACAAGACATAGTTTCTGGGAATAGCATTACATTTTGTAAAATTTGGTATGATGCGATGCGTCCTGGAGTACTTTTCAAACTGGCAGAAACAACATTCCCGAGACATGTGTAAAATAGTCATTTTCGCACTGCAACAAAACAGTTAAACTCCACATATCGATCCCCCAGGGACTTGTGAAACTTAACCTGTTCTATTATATGGCCCTAGTAGGCAATAGTCATGGCGAAATTTCTGGGCTCATTTGCGTGACGGGACGAGCCGAGAAGCCTCGTGTGGCGCTCTTGGGCTCAGCCCAAAAAGAAAGAAAGGAACTGTCTAAAAGATGACAGGAAAAGTGGACACGCGTAAGTATACACTGGCTCGCTCGTTACTTATTCCGTAACGCAAACTACGGTCTTCCACAGAAGAATAAAGATATACACCCGCTCGGAATGCGCTTGTCTGGAATGCGTGTGATGTAAAGCTAATGCAGTGAATGGATCACTTTGCGCTTAGACGAGGAGATTGTCAATGCTACTGCAGCCATAGTCCCCGTTGAGACTGCTTGCGGAGCCTGTCATGTTCTGTCGCCCTCTCGTGAATTTCGTGTTTCGTCATATAGTACCGCTTACTCGCCTGAATATTCCAATACTTCGTCGTCAGAGATGCCATGTTTATTTTCTTCCTTTTCCTTATTAATAGACTCCCGGTGTGCAGTAGAGACATAATTTTAGTGACGAAGGCATTTCCCCATTTAGAATTCACTGCACGTAAATTAGTACAGCATTAGTGTCGTATTGGCTAGCAGGTAATGCATCTCAGCGGGTACCGGTATATAACAATAATGGAGTCATTATGTGGAAGTACAGGCTATTTCTTGCCACTGATGGAGCGATCTTTCCGTCAGAGTAGCTGTTGGAAACTCTATTCACGATGTATACGGAGCAGACAGCTGCAAAGGGAAGCCTGAAGTTAGGTGGGCAAGAAGAAGAGAAAAGACGGAGCATTTCCTTCCTGGAGGTTGTAAAAACTTCGCCCACGACGCAAGAGCTTCCTTTCCTACGCCCCTGTATTCTTCACTTTTTGACGGAAAATTCCTTCAAACTAGTAAACAGTCTGCCCAGACAGGCATCATACGGTCGGCAGCCTTGCTATTAAACGTGTAGGCGCGGCATTGTGAACAAGGTTAGAGCGCCTCTTTATAAACACACACCACACCACCACACACACACACACCACACACACACACACACACACACACACACACACACACACACACACACACACACACACACACACACACACACACACACACACACACACACACACACACACACACACACACACACACACACACACACACACACACACACACACACACACACACACACACACACACACACACACACACACACACACACACACACACACACACACACACACACACACACACACACACACACACACACACACACACACACACACACACACACACACACACACACACACACACACACACACACCACACACACACACACACACACACACACACACACACACACACACACACACACACACACACACACACACACACACACACACACACACACGCACGCACGCACGCACGCACGCACGCACGCACACGCACACGCACACGCACACGCACACGCACACGCACACACACACACACACACACTGTTTGTTTGTGTGTGTTTGAGGTCACAACCGGCCTTTCTCAAAGATGCGATCGATAAAGATGCGATCCATGAACATACACAGGTACACATACCATCGTGATTGGTTAGAATAGGACGAGGGGAGAAACCAGAATCAGAAGAGCGGAACAGTTTAAGGGGAGAGGGACACACATGCCTATAGCGTCGATATTTGTTGAAACGTACGTAACCGGAATAAAGTTCTGTACAGACGTATACGTGTTGAAGGGCTGACAGAGGTAAGTGTTTCGCACTGCATGCCCTTCCCGTGCACCCTGTAAAACCAGTCATGTGGTTAAAGAGTTTATGAGAAACGAAAATATTTTCTGAATTCATCGAGCTACTTAGCGCTTTCAGAGGCACGTCGGAAGACATTGGAAGCCCTTCGAAACAGTCACGCATTTCGAAACAGTCCTACACGCTTCCTCCAGAAACACACATCACGCACAGCGCTCTTCGAATCTTCCCACATTCGTCTTTGCCGTATCTCTTGCATCTTTACACAGTATCTCTTCTCAAATCTTTGCACATGCGCACCATTGTTGATCACTGTTTCTAAGCACCACCCTGTACGCATATAAGAAGGTCAGTCACGCACACTAAACTGTTGGTAGCGATCGCTGCGTGTGGTGTGTATTACTTGAGTGGATGCATGTGTGAATGGAAGGGTGTTTGAAGGGATTTCTAAGTTGCGCTAAACTTACTTACAGTATGACGAGTTACCAGCTAGCCCAAAAAGAATAATTGTTCGTTGCTGGGCTAATTTTACGCACTGTGACATGTGTTGCCTACAACAAGTTTTAATGAGCAACGCCTTAGGTACAAGTGATTCGGTCGAAACTTGAGCGGATGATGTACGTGCATACTCGCTTGTACATCAGCTCAGTTAAGCCAATCAGTCCTATAAAAAAGATAAAGAAATTCAAAAACTTTTATTACCCCTTCTTAAGTGCTTGGAGAGAACCAGTGGCGCCATAAAGAAAACATGGCTGATCCCTCTATTTAGGAATAGGTATAACACGAAAGTGAAACGTGTCTTCACAGAGGTTGTTAGGCGTTTATTGCGCATTGTTTCGCTACAAGGGCTAAATAATGACTGCTACAGCAGCAAGCTACAATGTCACGCGATGAAGCGAAAGCAGTTAGAAACTTGCATCGCGCACCTCAAGTAGAAACCACGCACGAAATGAGCATACACTGGACGAGTTCGGACAAACAAGTGTACAGCTCGACACTTAAAGGACGCTGCTCAAACAAAAAGGAAGAGAACACCAAACGAACGCACAAGTGTACGCAAGATGAGCGTGAACAACTGTCACAATTATTACTTCTTCGTTCATGAGCAGCGCGCTACTTTCGTAAACACGGCCATGGCAGCGAGAGAAGGGACCTGAGGGCTGTCTTTAACCTCTGTAACTTCAAAGCAAACTTACGGTGGAAGCACAAGAGGTACAAAGTGACCGAATACCGAGATAAGCGCGCGAGCGAGCGATCGCGCCAGAGAACATTTATATTGACTTTGACCGCGCCATGTGGAGGCATGCACGCGTCGCAACGCGCGGGGTGGCGTGAGGCGACGGCCTCTAAACCGCGTAGGCCCAGCGTGCGTCCCTCACGCCATCTCGCCACTGATGGCAGAAACGTGCTGAAGTTGCTGAGCTCCAAGGACTGCCAACTGTACATGGTGTATATAAATTGCTCGCCGTTAGCATGCTCAAATGTCTATGTTTCCTGGCATAGTGGCTAGCGTCACGTGCTGAGGAGCGAAAGGTCGCTGGTTCGGCGCCCTGCTATGGAAGTTTCTCTTCTCTATCTTTTTTTCTTTGCTATTTGTTGGCATATATCTTACAACGTCATATCCGTGACGGAAATACGTCAGCGGAGCCGTGGTAGACCTCGGCATAAAATACTTTCGCGTTAAGAAACAAAAGAGGGGCAGCATTACCGCCAAATCGCGTGTCAGCTGCCTGACAAATCGGTAGCAAATTACGAACCAATTTTCCGGACAAAGCACGGTGCTAACAGCTTACCTTTGAAGACGATGCCAAGCAATTTGAGGATGTTTTCGTGCTTGAAGCTGGACATGATCTGGACCTCACGCTCGAAGTCGGACTGCGCCTCGTTGGACACGCTTTCCTTGAGAACTTTCACGGCCACGTCCTCCTCACTGCCGTCAGGGTGCGTGTACACCGCTGCAAGAACCAATGATGCTTATATAGGCTGTGTGAGTGGCTGTAAGAAAGTTATATAGCTTCCGGAGAGAGGTTGGATATTCAAAAAGTGAGGCCTGGCTGTCGCCGCGCAGTTTGTTTGTCGTGCTTCTTGATTGTGCACTGTTCGAAAAGCGCTGAACTGGTGCCGTTGCTATACTAATCACGAATATATATCTTGGGGTAGAGCGCTTCCATTCTAACACGTAAGCTCTCGTTTGCCGCTCGCGACGAGACGTATGGCATGCTTGTACACGTTTACTTCGATTGAGAACCATTGGGAATGTGCTCTCACGTTCACCCGGTGTTATGTCCCCCACCACGGTGGTGCTAAGGCACAGCCGGGTGCCTTAGCACCACCGTGTTTTTCTCTATTTTTCTCTAGTTTCGTTTTCTATATCGCTCAGCCATCCGCTCCGAATGAGACCACAAGCTAAGTGGAACATCTCCTCTTGCGATGCTCGAACAACCACACTGCAGGATGGTATAACAATATAGACGCACACTCAGAGAAGCACGAGAACATGTCTTCAGCGCAGCATTTGAGAGACAGGTGTGTGGACGGAATGCACATAGAAGGTAACGAATAGCGAGGTTTTTTTGTCAGTTATCCTACTATTTAACATTCATGGTCGTGTGACATTACGAATAATAGTAGTCACAGTAAAAGGACGGCAAAGTGAATTACGGCAGTCACAAAATGCAGCTTTTAGGCCCGTATTCCCAAACCAACCTCGACCTTACCTCACGTTTTCATCAACTTCCTCTACTCTCTACATGCGTTATAAAGGCGTGAAAATGGCAACAGGGTGAAAGATAAGGACAAGACAGGCTAATGTATGCTGGCTGGTTTAATTTGTTTATTATGCGCAATAAAAGTTTAAAACCGATAATGAAAACTCGAGGAAAGGTTGCTCGAGGTTGGTTTGTAAATGCGGGCCCTAATTAAGAAAGTTCGCTTAAGTGTTTGTTCTTACATCTGTTGGAAGGCGGCTACAGCTGAGTGATACGCTGCTAGTAATTGACTATGAAGGGGACTTCGGGTTACACATTTCAGTTTCAACTTGGAATTAGTAGCATACTTTTTGCGCCTATTGATTATTATGATCTTAAAAAGGCACACAGATCGAGGAAAGCTGAAAACGACTGTGCACCTAAAATATTGCTTCGCATCAGGGGGAACAGAGCAAGTGGCAAAATGACGCGCGTCGTGACATTGTTATACTGTAATACCACTTGTAGGTGCACATTGTAACTTTTTTATGTGTACAACATGATTTATGTGCTTGCTTCACATAGTTGCGACGGGGCCACTATGATATTAGGTATGTGACATCATAGGCTCGGAAAACATTTCTGTATAAGATATTCAAACCCATTAGCTGCCGCGCTAATGGCTGGCTCAGTGTGAAGATGTCAGAGTGGGCTGACATGTGCGCTGGCGTTCTCGCGTTCTTATTTTCGATGCGTGCTTAAATGTTTTTTTTTTCTACAAGTTACAGTAACTTCCTTCTGTACTGAAGCCAGTCAGGTGCTTCTACGACACTTCCTGCACGACGCGTAATGACACCTTTCGACTTTCATAGTGGCGAAGCACCTTGGAGTCTCGGCTTGTCGGCGTGTCATGTCGTCGTCACGGTCAATTATAAATGGGTATGCTCCGCAAAAAACTGAGTGAATCGCACCACTCGCAATCAGTCCATATATACTATAGGCATATTATGTCTAAAGTTTCATCGTTACTTCGTAAAACATTACGTTTGACCTAGCAGCGATGCCAGAATCCTTGAAGAAATTTATGAAGGCCCTCAAGTTTCTCATTTGAAACCAAGGTTAATGAGGTCTAACAGACAATAATGCCAAGGGAAGTACAGGGTATATTATTAGAAGTAATCGTAATGTAAATGCGAAGAAAGAAAAATGGATGAAAAGCGAACTTGCCGCGGGCAGGTATACCGACCCTGCGACACAACGCGTACGACGCTCTACCAACTGAGGTATACCAAGGCGGCCATCCCCCTAGTTGGTCGAGCATCGGACGCATTATTCGAAGGTCACCGGTTCGGTTCCTGCCCAGGCCCCACCGTGGTCTATAGTGGCTAAGGTACTTGGCTGCTGACCCACAGGTCGCGGAATCGAATCACGGCTGCGGCGGCTGCATTTCCGGTGGAGGCGGAAACGTTGTAGGCCCGTGTACTCAGATTTGGGTACACGTTAAAGAACCCCAGGTGGTCGAAATTTCGGATCCCTCCACTACGGCGTCTCTCACAATCATATGATGGTTTTGGTATGTTAAACCCCACATATCAATGAATCAATTGGTCCCTGCCCACGGGGAGTTATCTTTTCGTCCACAATTCTTTCTTCACATTTACATTACTTCTAATACCATCCCCTATACTTTCCATGGTAAGATTGTCTGTTATATCTCATTATCATTGTGTCAAACAAAAAGAACTAGCCCTTAAATGTTCACTCCTTTCTTTTATTTAAAACCAGAGAGACAAAGGTGCATTCCTAGGGTAACGCCACATAATTGAAACACTGCTTCTTGAAACATATCGGCAAAGTGGTGGTGCGTTAGTGGACTCGAGTAAAGCAGTAAAAAGTCGAAATCTTGCTGTAGGAAACACCAGTGCACATTGCGTGCTTCGCCTCCGAGTCCTAGAGTTTCTCATAATTGGATCAGAGACAGCCTTCCCTGCATGCCTCTTCGGCACAATATAATGTTGCTCTGTAAGGCAAGTCTACTTGTTGAGACACGGGTCCTCGCAGGAGCTGATGCTTCGACAAGCAGATTTCTCTCCTTCAAAGTTGCAAGCGCTTTCGTGGGTGCAGCCTCACAAAAGACAAGTCCGCTTGTCAAGACGTCGGCGCCAGCGACGTGCCATGTTCACGAATTTTTTCATCTCGTCGAACTTCCATAAATAAAGTTTTTTCATTCCAAATAAAGTTTTTTCATTCCATTCCATTCGAACTTCCATCGTCTCCTGAACTGTTGCCTTTTTTTATTGCAAGTCTACCTGTTGTTTCTTTTGCCAAGTGATGCTGATGTCCCACGGGGCACTACTGATCGCGAAAAAGCCCTGTTGGAACCAAACCGGCTTTCTTCTTGATATGTGGGGTTTAACGTCCCAAAACCACCATATGATTATGAGAGACGCAACCGGCTTTCTTCTGCAGCTTGCATAAGGAGTCGATCACCAGCAAAGAACTCGAACCGGATCAGACCAGATCACAATCAAGATGACACCGATATCACACACTATAGAGTATAGGGGACGTTACAGAGGAGTGGTGGAAGTGGCCTACCCTTGTGGACCTTGCCGAAGCACCCTTCGCCGATCTCCTCGATGAAGCGGATGCAGTCGGGAGATATCTCGACGTCATGCAGTACTTTTCGCAGCGGCGTCTCCGGAGCGGACGAGTAGTAGGTGGGGTTGGTCACGTACTGCTGCATGCATTTGTGCAGAGACCCGGCAGCCGCCCGCCGGGCTTCTCGCCGCCGCCGGTGTCGTCGCACGAGCACCGCCACCACGAGGCCCGCCAGCGCCAGGGTGCCCAGCACGGCTAGCAGTCCCGTCAAAAGCGGAGCGGTACCCCCGCTTCGGCTTGTGGTATCCGGAAGCAACGCGCCGGCCGATCCGGCTCCGCCCGCTGGCTGCGGCTCCTGCGGTTCGAAGGCACTCAATGGAAAACTTGCTCCTCTGCATTCAGGTAGGTACACATTCCCCGTGCCTGAAGGCTATTGGAATCATCGGGTGTGTCACATGATTTGCGCTGATTTGTGGCCGAATGTTGCGGCTATCCGTATCGCCGCCCCTAGCTCCCTTCTGAAATTAAGACTTGTGTTATTCAGACGGGCAGGTTTCTCCCTACCGCGTTCATGGACATCGGCAAGTTCGGTTCTGTTCAAGTTTGTTTTATTTATTTTTTCGTTTTTTTTCTCTCTGTTTCCGCGGTTTCGTTCCTGCATCCCGTCCACTTGCGCTTTCCCGAAATAGCACTCTTCGCGCCTGGTGTAGAGACAGTTGCAGCGTGGTACTCATTCCTCCCCTTAGATTCCCGCAATACTAAAGCAGCGTTACTAACACCGTCACCTCCCGCTCACTATCCTGGCCCTTTCTAAGCCCCCGCATTTCCTCGATTTCCCCTTACAGTTGCCGGCCGGTATCTGAGCTACGTTCACAGCTCTCTGTCCGAAGCCTTGTCGTTTCTGCTTACTATCCGCCTTCGGCGTCGCTTTGCAGAACGCCTCTTGTCCTTATGCCACTTTTGTTTATGCTTCTTGTCCTTGTGTCCCTTTTTCCCCCGATGAGCTACCGTTGCGCCCGTACTTTGCTGCTTCCGGAATAAACATTCAGATATAGCTTAACGTCCTGTGTGTACAGTCGCTTCTGTTTTCACCTTGTTCACAAAGTAAAAAAAAAGGAGAAAATAAATAAATGTACAAAATAAATAAACAAAAAAATGAACAAATAAAACGCTAAATAGCGTGCCTAGTTCAGTCTAATGGCCTCCGGCGCACCGGGGAAGCTCTACGTGGTGTCTTTATCAAGGTTTTCGCTGTTTTTAAACAAACTGGCGTGTGCCGAACGGTCTGCGAAAGAAGACTTCCGGTGTGGCACTCCCGTTAATACTCTATTTTTTTGCTCGCATATTTCCCTGATGTTTTTTAGTTTATAGCACTATTATTTCTGGCACATTCCTTCAGATGTGTTTAGAGCGATGTCTAACAACTACAAGAAAGGGCCCGACGACGTCGCTCGGGAAAGCAAAGTGTGAAGTGCCGAGGAGAAGAGTTGTCTGATGCGCTGCTTAGACAAGTTCTGCAATTCAGCTTTTTGACTGGAACTCTCCTGCCCCCTGTTGGATCTGGGGACAAATGTATTTTCGTCTAGGCACGCAACTTCACGATACAATGCGTTTTGCTACCCCTGTTCCACACCGGGCACATTTAATAGCGATTGGTGCCGATCGGAATCGCTCACGATTCGAAGGGTTCGAAACAACTGCGACAGTACTAAATGCACTCACTAAGTCGGGTGCGGCTGAATCATGCGAACTACTACGGTACACTATATTCACGAATTGAACTTTCAAACTAAACCGCTTGTATGTGTACACTTAACGCACACATCAACAGATAAATTAGCTGGAGTGCAGCACTTTTTCTTAGTGTCAACAAGACAAGCGATGAGTCATTCGCTCGCACCGATGCGAACCCCTTCGCTCGTATCGTGCTCATAAAAAGCAAATTACATTGGCAACACGACGTACATACAGCACGTACATTGTATACGGTGATTGTTCTCGAGTGTAGCTGCCTTGGTGTTCCGCGTGTTGCTTCGAACAGTAAACATCACTGATGACTTCGAAAAACACCTTCATGGTGGATTTGTGGCTTTATCCAACTTTCACGTTTTGTTATCTAGTTCGTGCGTGGGCACACTTATCTGCCACGAGTGGAACACTACGGTGTCCGACGTGGTACTTGTTATTGGGGGGGAGGGGGGGACCTTATATCAATGCCTGGACATCTATTCTGTGCCATTAGGGTATGCACTGAGATTTACTTGCATTTGATGAAGTGAGCAGTACATATCTGCATGCTCTTTTTGAGATGGGATGTTAAACCCCCCAAATCAATCAATCATCATCGCTCTTTTTGAGAGCCATGTTTTCTCGCCTGACAACTGCAATTCATATATTCTTTCTGACGTCACGAGTGCTTTATCTGAATCGCTGTATCAGCAGGAAATATCGAAGCACAATCAGCCGCTGTTTATCAAGGTATAATCAGGAAGTTTTCTGGGGTTCGTTTCTGGTGAGCGAATATTGTTGCCAGAGTACGGTATGCGCTGACGAAGTTGTCTATACTTTTAACCCGAGCAATGGTGTGGGGTGCACTCATAATCCGGTGCGGCAGTAGCGGTGCATTTTTGCCTCTGTCTACGTCCAGGGTATTCATTTCACACTTTTCACACGATAAACCACGAGAGCATGTGTACAGGAACTTATGACTGAGATGGGCCGACTGCGCCTAAGGGGACCAACGGCCATGTAGAAAATGGCGGCATGCTTTGCTTGCGGATGGTGGCAGTCGCATGACGGCGGCGCATGCGTAGACTTCGGGACCTTCTTCCCACAGCGCACGTTCTCCATGTGTACGCACTGTTTCATGGCATCCATGCACACACGCAACGGCTACTTCACTGCGCACGAGTGAGGGTGAAGTCTTTCCAACTTGAGCAGCTTGTGCACGGGTAAAAACTATACATATGCTATCAAAAAGACTATATATTGTGCGTGGACGCGGAGAAGAAAATGGTTCGACGGCTAGGAAAGTACCACGAACTCCCGTGCGAATAACAAACTTCTTTATCAGGATGCCAAAAGCTCCACTGATTGTCTAGTCGCTCCACGAAGGCATTGCTTTGCTGGGAGTACGTAGGTGCTTTCTTTCGAACCTTCCGCGGCGGGTGCACGCCTTGATCCGTAGTGTCTTGCACCCACGCGGCATCATGAAACTGGTGGCATCGCATCGTTACGCAACTACCGAAATCAATATGAAAGCTGTGATTGTTCCGAAGGTATTCCTTTCATTATAGTTCTTCTAAACCTAATTCAACAAGTGCTGAAAAATGTCCTTTATTTCACTTTCGCTTGTCGATTACTTTTTCTTCATAGGTCCATCCTGCGTATGTTTTCAGTGCTATTGTATTTGGTGTGGGTTGCTAGTCCGCCAAGTGAAGAAGAGGTGCATCTCCCAGGCGTGCTCGTGAAATACACCGTATTCAATTTATATTTAGGTTTAGGCCCTTTCTTAGTGAACGGGGGGAGGGGCATTATTCACCTTTGCGCTAATGAAGGTACCCGCCTTCCTCATTTGCATAAAAAAGTAACCTTAGTTGCCCCCCCCCCCCCACCCCAGTTGTTTTGAAAGAAAGAGTAAAAAAAGATCCCGGAAACGCGCTTGACACATAATATTAGAGATAGAGAGGCTTATCACTTCTACAGAAATGCTGCAATTTTCCTCCCTTGCACATGCTCTGTTTTGTCGGTTGGAAAGTTTACTGCATAAGCTATAAGGTGTTGTTCCTTATGCGTTTAGACCACATGGCTCAAAATCAGTACTCAAACAGCGTTTGTGACTGTACATGGGCGCACCTTTGCGATGGGAGTGAAGTTCCGGTTCATGCCGGCTATTTGGTGATGCGTGAAGGAGCCTGCAGCGTGGGGCTGCCGTGGGCCGTTTTGGGGGTACCCGTTGCCTTGTGCTGAAAAGGAAGACAGCATGAGGAATAAATACGCGCTTCTTTCTGAACACGTGACCAAAAAGAGCGAAATGGGGCGGTGTTCTATCGGCTGCGCTGTCGCAGGATGACTTTCAACTGCGCACCCGTGAAGTTCTTTGCTTTGTCCATTACCCCCCCCCCCTCCCCCCCCCACACACACCACGATCTTGTATTGACACACTAATGCAGCTAATGAACGTCATTATTTGCCTGTTCTGCAAGCGTTTGAACGTGCGTTCCTTTCATGCCGTGGCCAGTAGGCCGCGGCGACTTAACAGTGGTGACGAGTCGCATCGACACCCACGATGTTAAAGCAGAGCCTGACACTCGGACATTGCAGACAGCCGCGCCAACGACTCACGTCAGTGGCGTTCCAGGTGCTTCACAGTTTTGACGAGAGCTCAGATAAGCGGAACCCGTACTTGATCAAAATAGAAGCGTACTTCGAAAATTGATTGATTGATTGATATGTGGGGTTTAACATTCCAAAACCACCATATGATTATGAGAGACGCCGTAGTGGAGGTCGCCGGAAGTTTCGACCACCTGGGGTTCTTTAACGTGAACCCATGCAAATCTGAGCACACGGGCCTAGAGCACTTTCGCCTCCATCGAAAATGCAGCTACCGCAGCCAAGATTCGATCCCGGGACCTGCGGGTCAGCAGCCGAGTACCTTAGCCACTAGACCACCGCCACGGGGAGTACTTTGAAGCAAATGGCATCGCTGAGTCAAGCAATAAAAGAGCACTTCTTGTGGCCGCGCAGACCGTTCGAATTCTCGTCCGAAGATTCGCTCCCCGAAAGCTAAATTTCTTGACTTATGACGAAGTTACAGAAGCCTTGAATAAGTAATTTAACCCCGAACGCAACAAAATTGTGTAGAGTGACAAGTTCTTAAGTCGCTTCCAACTGGACGGTGAATCGGTTCACGCTTTTGTCATCGAGATCCGCCACATTGCATAAAATCCCTTGGACAGAATGACCCGGGACAGGATTGTTTGCAATGTACTCTCAAGTGCAGCAAGAAAACAACTGCTAGCGAAGTAAGAGCTAACGCGAGAAGTTGAAGCGATAGTAATATCAGCTGAAGCCACAGAAACAGAGAGAAATACACTTATATAAAGAGTGGCCACTCGAACCTTTTTCGCGGCCGAACAAAGAAGGGTCTGAACAACCGCTAGATGACATACCTATGCTCACTTTTACTCGTTCCTCAACACTGTGGCGACTGCATTTTCGATGGAGGCGGAAATGCTGTAGGCCTGTGTGCTAAGATTTGGGTGTACGTAAAAGAACACCAGGTGGTCGAATTTTCCCGAGCCCTCCACTACGGCGTCTCTCATAATCATATGGTGGTTTCGGGACGTTAAGCCCAACATATCAGTTAATCAATCGTTCCTAAACACATGGAGTAGCGTCTTCAGGAGAATGACTGAGATCCAAGCTTGGCTTCGAAGTTTTTTGGAATAAGAGCTTTTATTGATTTGTGCCATTTTCTTTGTCGCCTCTACATTGTGTCCTGCTGAGGATGTTAAATGCGCTACCTCAAAAATCAGTGAAGTCTGACTAAAAAGTGTTGTCTTTTGCATTTGTTTTGCACTAAGGGTACACAATCACGTGGTTTTACGAAGCATTCACGTGGATGTATACATGTAATCTTTTTGTGGAAGCATGGGTGTGTAGCGTAGTGGTAAAGACACTCGCTTTCGGAGCATGAGGGTACAAGGTCATATACCATAATCAGAAAGATAATTTTTTGTTTTATTTATTTAAACTGAAGGCATGCATGTAGGATCTGACCAGCCGATCATGGCGCTGAAAGCAGAGCAGTAGCTCGGCCGCAAGGCCTTACGGGAGTGTCCGCTCTTCACTTAAGTCAGTTTCTCTATGGCGGAAGACGATGCGCAATGCATTTCAGCTGAAGCAATACTGCTTTTCAAAATGCAGCTGGGAGGTCTTCCTGGAGTACACGCGTACTTGGACGATGTACTTGTGTCTGAAAAGGCGGCAGACAACGGAGTAGACTGCGGCGACTTAACAGCTAGCACTAAATTATTGGTGGTACAGGTATCAGTAGCTAGTACTGCGTTAGCTTGCACTAATTGACATGCTGCAAAATAGTGAGCCCCCCCCCCCCCCTTCCCCCAACAACGTACACATTGAAAACACTTGTGTGTTGGCTTTCCCGCAATGCTATTTTCTGCACAGTACATTTTATTCTCTGCCCCGCTGCGGTGGTCTAGTGGCTAAGGTACTCGGCTGCTGACCCGCAGGTCGCGGGATGGAATTCCAGCTGCGGCGGCTGCATTTTCGAAGGACGCAAAAATGCTGTAGGCCCATGTGCTCAGATTTGGGTGCACGTTAATAAACCCCAGGTGGTCGAAACTTCTAGAGTCTTCCACTACGGCGTCTCTCATAATCATATGATGGTTTTGGGACGCTAAACCCCACATATCAATCATCATCAATCAACCTTTCGTTCTCAGACTGCTTTTCTAATTTTATGCTTGCACGTTCGCTCATTTACATTCCAGCGGAGGTGCGGGAGCACCACAAGGGTTTTTCACCATACATTACAGTAATGTCGGGCCACCTTATATGTTGATCGTTCATGTACTAAGAGAATGGGAGAAACGAAATAAAGAAAACGCAGGGATTTGTGGTGAATGGGGAAAAAAACTAGTTTGCCTGGTAGTCTGAAGTCGAGGCTATCCGTGTGGTAAACAAGCTTCCTCGCGCATGCGCATGAACTATTTTACAAGCTCCCATGGCTGATCTAGCACTGAACCATGAAGACCCAATGTCGCTATACATATACACGCGTCTTTGTTGCTGTTTCATGAATTCGCGGTTCACACGCTTTTGATGTGTATGCATGCTGCTCTATTCTGCAGTTTTTTCTGGTAAAATACTGCAGCTTGAACGAGTTGGATTTGTCTAGTTGAACTCCAGGACATCATATACGAAAAAGCAGGCTGAGTTTGCTGGCTTACATTGGTATATCGAGCTTTCATTTGACTAAATGATTACGTGAGTTTATGAAACCTCTCTGTATTTAATGATATGAGTTGTATAGCTCAAAGAGCGCTGTTTAAACATGACCATCATCTAATGTATAATGTTGCCGATGCTTTAAAAAAGCGAAACTTCGCAGATATTGTTTTCTGGTGGTATATAGAACTGCTTGAACGACCAACGTTGTCCCTTGGCGACCTATTTGCAGCTTATAAGAAAAGTGTAATGCTTGATGCACTGCCTGTTCCTACGAACTTTGGTGTAGCTGCACTATTACCCCACACTGGCGTGTGGTACAGCGCACATTTGTCACCTGTCGACAACTAAAAGACGCTGACAACCGCTTCGCGTATCCACTCATTGCATAGTCTAGATCAGCATGCACGGGGAGAAGCGCCAGTGTTTCACGGGCCACAGTGGGCCCATATTCACAGAACACTTACACTTGAACCGTTCCTGAAATTAAACGCTAGACAAACATGAATATGATTGTACGATTGGGGAAGGCGGTAGTCAAATAGTAAGCAACACCTAAAATCAAAGTGCTACACGAATTTGGTCCTTCATTCATAGGCCATATTTTCACTGTCTTCTTGCCTTTGGTTTTAACTTTTCAGTAGGCTATAGTGCTGCCATTCGCGGTAACTAGCGCAAAGTTGTACATCGTCAGATGTGGCATATAACATCACGGGTGGTGGTGCACGCACGCTACTTACCGACGGGCGCCTTGCTGCAGGGCTCGTGGGGCCGCTTGGGCTTGAGGTCGCTGGTGCAGAGGCAGACGAAGGTGCCGTTCACGTTGTGACATCCTGCCTCGAGGCCACATAGCGTCGAGTTGTGCGCGCACAGATCCAGCTCTGCACGTAGTGAAGAAGGGAAAAAGAGGGGCCGACGTGTTGAATGCTCTTTCAGTGCATACGAAATAAAATATTTGCTCTACCGATTTCGAAATAGCAGTAAGCTGCAGCGCTTTGCTGTAAAAAGCACGACACGCCAAAATGCGAGCAACTTCCGTACGAACAGTCCAGTCACAGCAATAGCTACACTAACGGCAATTGATGGGAGAAGCCACGTCTCAAGAGCACACCAGCTTTGCAAATTTAACAAAACTGACACCACTTTGCTAATGATAGTTATAGCGCGAGAACAGAACGATGACAAAGAGACAAAGGAGGACACGAGTGCTCGTGTCATTCGTGTCCTTCTTGTCTCTTTGTCGTCGTTCCGTTCTTGCGCTATAACTACCGTCATACCAACTAGTCCAAGCTGCCACACCACTTTGCTGTCTTGTTTTGCAAGAAAGCGCAGCGCGAGAAGTGAAGAGGTCACAATGCACCGTCAAGTCACAGTGTTTTCGCGCCAAGTGCTGTGCGTTGAAAAAAAGCCTCTCAGGCTAATCTGACATTAATGGTGACATTATCCACAGCCTTCCGTATATGAGAAATTTGAACTCGTTTCATTGGAACGCGAACATGGGAGTGTACCGGAAGTGGTATAAGAACAAGCTTTACTTCGTAAACTACCGAAAGTCTACGGGTGACCGAGACTTATGTACATAAATGTGTGGTTGCGGCGTCACCTACATGAGCCAACACTGACGAAAAATTACAATTTGTTCGAATAATCTCCTTAAGCGTTACCAATTTGAAGCACTTCGAACTGTATATTCTTGGGTGCTAACGGCTAAAGGCGTGTAGACCAACGACCATGTTTTCGAACTACTCCTTTCGCATATCGTCACTGTTGTCTTTTGGTATACGAGTTCACCCAAAAACACACGTTTAATTTGGTTATAGCATTGGTCGCGCGATGGGAAGGAATAAGTGAATGGACTGAAGAAAGGAGCCCATAGAGTAGGTTTCCTGTCAAATGCAAGAGACGTCGTATACCTTGCAAGCCGTGATGATCGTTTGCTGGCAACAGGTACCAACAGAACTTCATATGCAACAATCAATTCCGCACTTCAGGGGCGTACATATTAACTTTGTGTAACGCTTTAGGTTACTCACAAACATTTTCCTTTAGTTTAACTTCTTAGACCACTAAAAGAAGATTAGAACAAAGAACCTGTAAGCGCCCCGATGAGGTGCCATGCTTCAGATTGACCAGACAAATGGAAACCGAGCTCCAGACATGGTTGCTTGCGGCTGTGCTGAGCAAGGCCATGGTTCAAGAGTGGTCACTCAAGGCCATTCGACTTTCGCATATTGGCTCAAGTGCAAGGCAATAAAGGCCTCGCATCGACTATCACCCGCGGCATGTTTTTTTACATTGTCTGTTCGACCGCATCGCCGAGACGACCTGTGCAAGTTCGATTAGAGTCGACTCATCAAGAAGTACGTAATGCCCATAATCTGCTTCCTACTAAGCAGATTACGTGTCTCTATTTCGTCACCAAATGTCCAGTTGCCGATGACACCCGAGAGATAAGGTTGGAAAGTACAAAAGACTACGCGTTTTGCAAAGGGCTCGTTTGTGTATGCTTGTCACTTGCGAGGCGGTTTTTTCTGTGGAAGAGCTTAGCGCCTCTCCCAAAGTGTGCGAAAGAGCAGAACGAGTGCTCTAATTAAGTCATTCGGCTTTCTCGTATCGGGCTTTGCTGATGCGGCGACATCGCGTTAATATTAAACAAGAGCCAGATCACACAACGCGGCGAGCGTGCCACGGACAGGGTGCTTGGGCGGAAATAAAAGCTATATCCGACGGAACACGAATAACAGTGCTTGCCAATCTTATGCCACGAAGCTTTGGGGCACACATACGTCCCGAGATGCGATGTGATGGCACTCTGCGCCGCAAAACAAACAGAACTAAAGCTATTCCTATTGCGCGCACAGTCACACCACGACAGGGTGGCTGCAGCGATAAACAGTTGGGGTCGATAAGCAAACAACGTTAATGAAAGAAAGATAGCGAATAAACCGGCTGTGAAAGACAGATGCGTACTACATGGTATTGGAGAAGGAGCCGTCGCCATTCGCATGGGACGTCAATATCAGTAGCCGTCCATTGAGACGTGACCCAGTGGGCGCGCCTTGACCACTACCGGATCGATAGACTGATCGAGTGGCTGCCAGTGAAGCTAAGAGGCTGCCGACTGTTGATGCTGCCGACGTTTTGGGACTGTCGGCGGTTGCAGGCAGACAGACCCCACGGCGCGTGCAGTGAGAACCACGTGGTGCGCGAGGAGTGGCGCGCTGCGTTTACACGCTAGCGTCGCAGTTCTTCCGACTGTTTACGTCGAATAGAACCTTTCGAACAAAAATATTGACCTTGTGTCTAATTAACAGAGAAACAATAGGCGCACGAGAGGGGACGAAGGAACGCTTAACACAGCGTTTCGTGCTTTCTTTTTAGTTTTTTTTGTACCGGTTCCTGTGTATGATTTGCCTTTATACCGAACGTTCTCAACCATAGATGGTTCGGGAGCATCTTGTGAACGGATGCATGAGTAGAGGGACCCTTGTAGTGAGAGAAAACAAAAGGGGGGGGGGGGTATAATAAAACACGCAGGGTGACCAAGGTGCATTTTTTTTTTGTTTTTCATCCTGGCAAACAACGACCCAACTAAAGTATAACGCCGATTCGATCTGAACAGATTGCCAATAAGTTGTGAGGTCTGCAGCCACTTTCAACCTGCTTCTAGCTATGCTGGCACTTAATATATGTAACTTTAGAAGAAGTATGCTGGCGTGCATAGGCCGTAGAAAACTACTCCAAAAACTTTACAACCTTCCCGTGAAGAGGGGTAATATATAAGTCTGTTCTGCCGCAGTTCACAATTGTTATGCAGTGAAGCTTACTAACAACTCGGAAGGGGGCTGTTTTGTTGGGACGTAACGTTTCACCGAAAAACTCGTTTTTTTTTTCGTTTTTCTTTTCTCAGGTATTGTAATGATGAGCCCCCAAAAGTGGCTTCGCGGACCTCCATTAGTGAAACACTGCTCTATACCATCTCGTGTATATTCCCAAGCGGCGCAGCTTGTCACCCTTATTGACTGTACTTATGGCGACGCTATATAAGTGCACAGTATAAGTACACTATATGACCGACATGCTCGTTTGATGCCTATTCAACGCAGAAATTCAGGCTAGTTGATAGATGTTGAACGTTTGCATCTTAGCAAGCTCGACGGAAGAAACAGGAAAAAAAAAAAAGACACGTAAACAGGATAAGTATCAAGTATCCCATCCTGCTTACGTTTTTTTTTTTTCAGGGTTTGTTCTGTCGCGCTTACTAAGATACGTGTGTGGCCACCCCAAAGTAAAGTCTGCGAGTGCCAAGTCACTCAACAGAAAAGCATAGCATCACGTCGAGTCTGACTGTTTTGGCGTAGCCTGTTATATGATTGATGTATTTCAGCAGGCGTTCGAGATATGTAAAGCTTCACAGCACGTTTTTATGCTATCACATGTCGTTACTGAGCGTATTTCTCCTATTTTTTGCTAATTTTCTTCCATTCTGTTCATTTGAGATAGTTCTGGTGTTCAGCGATATGCAAAACATTTCGCCCCGCCGCGGTGGTCTAGTGGCTAAGGTACTCGGCTGCTGACCCGCAGGTCGCGGGTTCGATTCCCGGCTGCGGCGGCTGCATTTCCGATGGAGGCGGAAATGTTGTAGGCCCACGTGCTCAGATTTGGGCGCACGTTAAAGAACCCCAGGTGGTCGAAATTTCCGGCGCCCTCCACTACGGCGTCTCTCATAATCATATGGTGGTTTTGGGACGATAAACCCCACAAATCAATCATTTCGAAGGGTTGCATGCTCAGGTGCTGTAGTGGGATATAATAGAGAGAGAGAGAGAGAGAGAGAGAGAGAGAAGAAATAAACTGTCACTCTGTTCTCCGCGTGTCGTCTTATACGACACACCAACTTGTTTAAACTCCATTCTGGTGTTCAGTTCTTCGTGAACGGCGAGCCTACGACCATCCACAGACGAAGCCGATATCGTTAACACTAGTGTTACCAAGGCCATTTTGCAAACTACCGTTCAGTTACACCGCTTTTCGTTTTAATGCACATTTCTGGTTTGCGCAGAACCGTGCATCGAAACAAAAGCTGCTTGAAAGAGTATTGTCACTTTTCAAGGTGTAACCCGCAATGCTTGGTCCTTCGACTATGAATGGTACTTAAAAATACTGACACTACAATATCGCATCCTTAAAGGCGGCCCACTCTTCTTGTTTGGAGTAAAAAACAAAACAAAGTGGCTGACATGAACCTCACCAAGAAAGTCGATGCGAGCAACTCCAGAAGGGCAGACGAAGATATTTACGCTTTTGCTGCGATGGAACAAGAGCCACGCTGTGGAGGCAGATTATTAGAAAGATCGGCTTCGTCAAGTGAGGCATGGTTTCTAGACAGCGCCTATGAGCACGCCAAACTAAAACAACGCAAATCGTGAAATTACGAACGACGGAATCGGTCCTTACCCATCAAGAAACAAAAGTTTGTCGCACGCTGTAATTGCTTTCTTTCTACCCTCGTCCCGGCGGGCGCACTGGAGGCTAATCAGGGAGAGGTGGCGCAAGGAAATGAAGTTAGGTCACGCGCGCGTCATGATATTGAGCACTTGTTTTCTTTTTTTGAACGCACGGCTTGCTATCAGTGTGATCGCTAGCATGCGCGCTAGCACGTGGCGTCGGTAGCCACCGCGCACAACTGTGCATCTCAAGATGTTCAAATCAGCCAATGGTCGTTAATCTGGGTATATGGCGCAATCATTTGAGTTTATGGCGTCATTTGTCGAGAGGAGAAGGAACGATATATAGCTGACTTTGAGAATTGTTTCTAAATTCCAGGCCATGTGTTGTGTTACAATGCATTGGGCTCGCCTGTTTTCAGGAGCCTCGACTG